AAAAGTGCTTGGCAACACTCACCAGTCAGTCTGCCTGTCTGTTTTTGTGTTTGGTAGAGCAAGTAATGCATAAAATAATAATAATTCCACAAATAAATACATTTATAACATAATCATAGCATTTTTTACAGTAATACTACCCTAAAATACAACTACTCTACTTTTAGCAATATTACTTTTATACAACATGATAAAATAGACAAACAATGAAAATGAAACAAACAAAAGTAGGTAATTATGTTCAGGAAGCTTCCCAGTGACCAAGCGTGTGATGTGACAGACAAATAGTCACACTGGAACCGGATAACCCGCCCTTGGCATTTAAACAGTGGTGGGAATAGGCAGATGTACTGGAACGTCACCTGGGGCAAGCTGGTTTGACATTCTGGAACGTCACCTGGGGCCTAAAGGTTAATGCTTTGTTCTTTTAATGGATCCACTTCAGAAAATATGTTCATTGTGTGCTCCATATAATATCCACAGACCTCTCACCTTTTTCATATCGTTTCAACACATCTAGTTTCTCGGCTAAGCTTGTACACTTTTTTTTTTAGCTTTTGAACCAGCACTACCATCACTTGCTCTCTTGCTCATGTTGAATAGGGGTGCAAAAATGCTGTAAGAAACCTGAGAAGGTTTTTCTCCTCTCTCTGTTCAAATTCGTGAAAACAAAAGGCATTCAAAGCTAAGGCTGTTTATACTAGTGATGCTGGCGTCACCACTCACAAGCCTCGCAGCCTCCTTGTGCAAGGCATATATTTTTTTTTTTTTCATGTTTTATGTACAGTATACAGTTTTACCCCGCCTAACGCGGTTTCACTTAACGCGTTTTCGCATATACGCGGTGCCTTGCCAAAGCTGAACTTTCACTTAACGCGGATTTTTTCCACATATACGCGGTGAGTGTCCGAGACGCTATTTTTAGATTTGCCCCACCCGCCACCCTGCCTGACTGCCTGTTTTAGCTCATAAAATTCATACAAATTACCAGGCCAGAATATAATTTACATTGCTGGAATTCTTATAATTTGGTGATCATTTTGAATATAAACATCATATATTTTGCTTTAAACTTACAATTTTTAGATAAAAATTTTTCTCTAGGTAACTATGGTATCTTTTGTGCAAAATATATGACATTTATATTCAAAATATTCCTGGTCTTACAAGGAATCCAGCAATGTCAATTATATTATCCTAACTTTAGTTTGAGGTATTATTTATTAAAATTTAGTGGTTATCCCACACATCTCCTTGGGACGGTTGGTGGGGGGTGGGGGGGAGGGAGGGACCAACCGACCATCTGTTACCCTGTGAAGAATTATTATTTTTTTTTATTAACTGAAGATATTTGTTTTAGCTCATAAAATTCATACAAATTACCCGGTCAGAATATAATTTACATTGCTGGAATTCTTATAATTTGGTGATCATTTTGAATATAAACATCATATATTTTGCTTTAAACTTACAATTTTTAGATAAAAATTTTTCTCTAGGTAACTATGTTATCTTTTGTGCAAAATATATGACATTTATATTCAAAATATTCCTGGTCTTACAAGGAATCCAGCAATGTCAATTATATTTTCCTAACTTTAGTTTGAGGTTATCCCACACATCTCCTTGGGACGGTTGGTGGGGGGTGGGGGGGGGAGGGAGGGACCGACCGACCATCTGTTAGCCGGCTGTGTAGTGTGAGAGGGGGAGGGAGTTGAGTCCATTATTTGAATGGACATTAACTTGGCGACTGTATTTCTCTATTTCTCTTAAGTATTAATTGTGTGCATGTACCATCATAAAATTAAGATGTTATTTTTACTACAACATAGGTATGTGCCTTCAAAAAGTGGAGTTTGGGGGTCGGGCCGGTTTCTATTGGAATTAATCCCATATGTTCTGTTGTTCATTTAACGCGGATTTCACTTAACGCGGGACCCTCTGGGTTCAATTGACCGCGTTAAGTGGGGTACAACTGTAATACATAACAGGTTTTAGTTATTATCTATATGAAAATGTAATTTTATTTTATTTTTTATTCTATTTTCGTCATAAACACGAAGAAAATAATGGTGTAAATTGAATTGGGTCCTAAATTAACCAGGGTCTTAAATATGAATCGTCTTTAGTAGAACCGTCATTATCAGAGGCGTTTGTGTATTATTATTAATTAATTAATTTGTTTATTTATTTATTTATTTTATTATTATTATTATTATTATTACTGTACAGGTGTACCCCAAAAACCTATGTCCCGTTAACTACCAGTTTGCATAAATGCCGATTACGTATAGGGCAAGTACCCCGCAAGTTTCATTGATACCCCGGAGATCCAACGTTTAGGATAGGGACGGCAGAGCTGTTTTGAATTTAGCGGGTGGTGGCTTGGTGTGAATTCTTGCCACCAGAGGGCTCTGCACACCCCTGATTCATTCCTGCCATCTTTGCTCTTGTTTACACTTACCATGTGTCTCTGACTTTGTGTTTTTTCGTTATTTCCGACTTAGTGTGTTAATTATGCTTAAACACCCCAGTGATAGTTCCTCTTGTGTTGGGCAGCTTGATGGGATGTGATAAGGCATTATAAGTCATAATAATGCTTAATAAGAGTGGTGATGGACCAACAAAGAATGGTAGAGACTTGAACTTGTTACCCTAGACCATCTTTACCATCCTCAACACAGGTAAATAAGTCTAAATTTATGCTTTACATTGCTTGTTTAAGGCTTATTATGCTTGCTTTATATGTCTGCTTTATTTTCTTGCCTGACAGTGTGCACAATAAAGATATATCAAGGGTAGATGGGAGATTTTAGAAGGTAGCTGGTCCTTAACCCCTTAAATTTGTTATGTTCATATTGGATTACGTAATTGCTTCTATAACAGTTCATTCACAATCCAACGACTTTTCCAGGTCTCTATATGCGTGGGTTATTGGGGTATACCTTTATTCTGTACATTCACATGCAATCGTTTATACAGAATGTGAAAAAATTTAAAAATTTTTAAGAATATCATCAGGTAAAAAACAAAGGGAATAAACATTTCTTACATGCACGAGAGTTAACTCACATATCGCAGGATTAGGAGAAGGGATATCAGCCACTCTAGTCTCCCATGTCCCACGTGTAGTGAAAATATTGCCAACAGTCAATGCATTTTTTTTTTTTTTTTTTAATTGTATAATTTTTGTTTATTCCTTTCATTTACTGGTACAGTAATATTTCCATTAGCTGGAATCCCTCAAACCCAGAACTCTCCGATAGCTGGAATTGAAATTTTCTCAGAAAATTTTTCCCAAAGTTGTAATTTTCTGGAAAATTCCGGCTTTGGGAACAATTTCCCAAGTGGCACATTTTCTGAAAAATTCCAAGAAAGTTTTCCCATTACCTGGAAAATTCCAGGGATAAGGGAGTGTTTTCTGGGTTTGGGAGATGAAAATCAGGCGCATTTTCCCAAAATTCCAAGACAATTTTTCTGGCACCTGTACCTGTTACCCGAAATCTCTTATTCCCGGAAGTGCTCTGCACTAATTGTTCCATCTTACGAAGATATCAATGTACTACAGTAAGTCCTCGCTTAACGTCGGGGTTACGTTCCTAAAAATGCGACGTTAATGTATTCGAAACAACGTTAAGCGGATCAATTTTCCCCATAAGTAATATATAAAGTACGGGAGTTACGTTCCTGAGCCTCCCTTTACCCCATGAAATACATTACATATACAGAAAATCATTGCCATTTCTATAGAAAATAATGCATACATATACAACTACCCTGTACTAAGTTTGTATTGGTACTCACCGATGGGCAGAGGTGGTAGAGCGAGTGTGTGGTGGGTACTGAAGCAGAGGAGGCGGATGATGGGAGGGGATGAGTATGGCAGGAGTGGAGGAAGAGGGTGGGAGCGGAGAAGGGCGGGAGAGGAGAGTGGTGAGTCACTGAGACTTTGCGCCAAGGCGAGAGAGCATAGTGTGGCCAGATGAGAGCAGGTGATGCACCATAAAATGTAGTCTGTGACGACGCAAAACAACGTAGTATCGGATCACCGGGACATTAAAAGAATTTTTGGTCTCTAAAGTCTAGCAACGTAGTACTGAAACAACGTTAAGCGGGACGACTTAAAGAGCGGACTTACTGTACTGTATACACGTGACCCTGGTCCCTATTAGCCTTGGATAATGAGGAGTGTATATAAAAAAATATGTGGTGCAAGTGGCTGGCTGGGAATGCCCCCCTCCCCACTCCAGTTACATTAATTCTTATGAGGAAAATTGCACTGATTTTTGCAAATTCGTCATTCGTCGTGACATTTAGGAATGTATCCTTTGCGATAACCTTGGTATTCATGTATTCCTGTACTGTCATTCTACTTAATCTTATGTGATATCTGATTTGTATTATGTTAACATTGGGAAAAGAGATAAACATGTATAGTACTGTAATGTGGTTTCAGGAGATGAGTACAGTATGTAATGGAAATGGTGTCTGACAACTGCCCTCAGTTCTCCAGGCATACCTTGGGGTGGTATCACCCCAACCAATCTGCCTGTGTCCCTTCTCTAATGCAGAATTTTTGTAGTTCCATGGATAGGGTTATGCCTCATAGGTTAAAAAATATATACAGTATATATCTTCCCAAGTTTTCCATGGATGCATTGTCTTTTTTTTTTTTTTTTTTGCTTATGTTCAACATTCACAGTAATATAAATTAGATATATGCATTGCACACAGTAATATAAATTAGATATATACATTGCATAGTACAGGTAGTACCATTTCTTTGGTATGTAGTATTTGGCAATTCCATAAAGATGGTATGTGAGGAAAACAAAGAGAAAAAACTTTCTTGATTTTTTCTTCACTTGCTGTTATCTAGAATATAAACTATGACGCAGTGAATGTTTCTTATAGGCATTAATCATTTAAGCCCCTCAGTACATAAAGCAATCTCAATAATGTTTGTGTCATTTAAATTTTAATAAATTTGTATATTTCAGTTTCTCCTCAGAAATGTCCACTGGAATTTGTGCCTTGGGAAGACTCAGAAATGGTTAGTGGGTGTGAATGGGTTGGGCAGCATACCTCACAGCTCAGGCTCAATCTCTCAACTGAAGAAGTTCTCACAGGCTACACTGCTGATGTTGCTCGGGCTACTTCATGGAGGGTGAGGATTGTTGCTATTTCGTACAATATTAATAATGTGGTAATAGGTGAATAGAGAATTTAAATTTGAGATTAGAGTGATCACAATCAATGTTTTGTGGCCATTTTCCATGCTTGCATAGGTTAGTTTCTCTCATCAGGTTCTTAACTATGATATAATTTCTTATAACTTTTCCTCATGTCATTCTTGGCTTATCCCTGCCTAACCTCTCCTCATGTCATTCTTGGCCTATCCCTGCCTAACCTCCCCTCCACATTTACGCTAGTGCACCTCTTGACCCAATTGGTCTCCTCTATTCTCTCCGCATGCCCAAACCATCTCAGTTTACCTCCATGCAAAACCTTGCAAATACATACTGTCATATCCTTTTGTTGTCGGTGCTTAGAACAGTTACCTATTTTTCAGTGTAAAAATGCAATCCACCTCATCATTCTCATTTCAGTTCATTGAAGCCTGCATATATCATCCTCTTTAACCCTTAAACAGTGGCTAATGATTCCAAACTCCACCCCCATATTCGCAAAAAATTGAATGCAAAGAACAAGAAACATCCACTTATCTTGGCCACTGTCCCTACAGCAAACATCCCTGTCCCCACAGCAAACATCCACACATGTTTCGCCACTATACAACCTCATTTTTTTGCACCAGTTGCATACATCTTTCTTTTCATGCTAAGGGAGGGTCCCCTTGCCATGAATAAAAACAGTAATTCCCTAAACTTCCTTTAGCCTCTTCTGACTCCTGCAGCTTAGCAGGCTTCAGCACCTCTTCCAGCACTGATTACTATAATCATATCACCCAGGTAGCAGAACTCAGTGACACTATTATTTGTCAAATATTGGGTATGGTCACTGTGACCCATACCTTAGAACTATTTTCCACACAATTATTGATATATTGATATTGAAACAGTTTATTTACCAGAAGAACACAGGTACAGTCAATGAAAATCACAATATTAACATGGCTGAGCCAGTTGAGAGCCTGAGCTCTCTTGTAGGCACCTGATATAGAAAGTACATTTATCTCAAGGAAGTATTATGCAACATTTAGTATCATTTGGAATAATACATATAGCATGGTGGTAATAAGAACATGTCAGTGTTACCACGATTATCACTGAAGTTGATTTTTTTCATTTATTTGATTTTTTTAGTTGTTTTACATTTATGTTATAAGTATATGTGTTGGGCTCAGAAACCAAAAGGTGACCACAACGTGTTGTGGTTGTTTGAAAAATAACCAGAAGCAAGATTTTGCTATAGGTTGGGTTAGGTTAGTTTGGATTGGGTTAGGTTAGGTCAGTTTGGATTGGGTTAGGTTAGGTCAGTTTGGATTGGGTTAGGTTAGGTTAGTTTGGATTGGGTTAGGTTAGTTTAGTTTGGATTGGGTTAGGTTAGGGTAAAATCCAAATGCAAAATTTAGCTTTCTGGTTATTTTGAAAACAACCACAAAGTGTTGTGGTCGCTTTTCGGTTTCTGAGCCCAACATATACATACTTTACAGTGGAATTGATAAACATAAATATGGTAAGGGAGGGAAGTAGTACAACATGGGTTGTATTAAGGCTGAACAAGAGGACAGAGCTGTCAGTATTATGTGTATAGTGCATTTTTTCCCAGCTGAGAAAAGATGCCCAGCTCCCTCCTCAAGAGTTACAGCTGATTGGCTGTTGCAAATCTGTCCGATTTCATCCTGAAGTAATGATGTATTTCTAAATGAGTTTATTCATAATCATTGGGATGACAGTTTCTGACGAGAAAGATATTAAGCTAAATTATATAAAGATGCATACATTCATTCTTTCAAACATGAGCACAGAGGAAGTTTATCAGAAATTTTATACAGTACAAGTACATGAATTAACTGTTAAGCGCTGGTAACAAATTCATGCTTTCGGAGGATGCATTGAATATACGGGGGGGTGGGGGGGGATACATGTATTTTTACCTACAATGAGGCATACTAAGACAAATTGCGTATCATTAAAACTGCATTATGCAAAAACTAATATTTTTAAAGGTTCAGAATCACTGAAATATGAAGTTGTTCACAGTTATATTTTCCACCTCTACTGACGGTTGTTCGCTCGAGCGGCCGAGTCGTCCACCAATTTTCATGGGCCGTGTAATATTTCAATGTGATTATGATGGGTGAAAATACGTACAGTACTGGGTGTATATTAAATGCGTCCTCCGAAAGCGTGAATTTCTTAACAGTGTTTAACAGTTAATTCATGTACAGTAATACCCCGCTTTACTCGGTCAATTGAACCCATGGAGGCCCGCGTAAAGCGGGAAACGCATAAATGGAACAACAGAACATATGGGATTAATTGAAATACAGACTGGGTTGACCCCCAAACTCCACTTTTTCAGACACAATACCTACATTGTAGTAAAAATAACATCTTAATTTTATGATGGTATGCACACACAATTAATAATTCAGAGAATATCAATAATATTAGGTTTTTTAACACTTACATTAGTAGAAAAGATGGCTGGGCACACGGGGATGGAGGGTTGGTTCCGAGGCAGAGGGCAGATTATTGGCCCTCACCTGTATCACTTGTATCAATTGTATCACTATCCACCACAGAGGCTTGCAGGGCCTCTTTGTCAAACCCCTCAAAGTCCATATAAGTCCATATCCTCACTATCACTGACTTGGGCCGGCTGTGGTGGGTGAAGAACTCGGTAATGTTTTGATGACTGGGCGACCTTGTGCGCACCCAGCCCGCACCGCTTATATGAGTAGATGAACCGCATAAAGTGGGAATTCTGGTTCTGGCGGGGTACCGCGTAAATGTAGAAACGTGTAAACGAGAGCCGCGTAAAGCGGAGTATTACTGTATAAGATTTCTGATAAACTTCCTCCGTGCTCCTGTTTGAAATAATGAATGTACAGTGGTCCCTCGGTTAACGAGCACAATTCATTCCAGAAGGTTGCTCGTTAACCGAAAAATTTGTTAACCGAAACCATTGTTTCAATGGGTTTTGGGATAATTGGTTCCAGCTCACCGAAAATTACATACAAACTTAAAACAAATGCAGTAAAGTACGCTTTCTTTGAGGTGTGCATGTAGAAGGCTCCTGGTTGTTGATGATGATGATGGGAATTAGAATGGGGGTGGAGGAAAAGGGAGAAGAGAAGTCATCCTATGCCGCCATTTCACCCATAAAATTTTAGTTCACTTGGTGTAATTCAAGATTATTTTTTTTAAATCAACACTGCACTGCGCTATATATTATCAATATGTAAAATATATTTCAAAATGACCAATAATTTGACTGGAAACACAGAAAAAAGGCATTTATGTTGAAGAGTCTCAAACAAGATGTTCCTTCCCCTGAACTGGTAAACAAACTGACGCCAAGCTTGATGTGTTGAGTGGCTGTTTGGCCCGCAAAAACCTAGTTTCCTGTACCGTATATACCTGTGTGTAGTTCGAGTTATCAAAACACGCATTATAGCAGAACTCACTGTACGTCATTTCAGCAAAAATATTACATTTCCATATTCTCAGAAATAAATAGTAGTTTTGCTGAAACGTAATGTATTTCAATGTAAATTAGGATAAACTACATGAAAACAAAAGACTTTACCTAACCTTCCGATGTTCAAGATATGTTACTCGTTTTTTTAATAGTTTTCGGTTAAAATACTGTAATATTAGTTATTTTCTATTCATACTGTGTTTGATGGGGGATCAGTGGTAGAAGCGGTACCGTTCTTGCCTTGCAAGCGAGATGTCACGGGTTCGATTCCCGGGCCGGTGGAAGTTGTTTGGACATACTTCCTAGCCCCCATTAGTCCCTGTTCACCTAGCAGTAAAGTAGGTACCTGGTGTAAATCGAAAGTTGCGAATTCGTATTCAGGGAAAGTTGTTGGAGCTTCCAATAACTTGATGACATAAACCACTGACTCTTCAGGCTTCTACGCCCTTGACTCTTCATGCTTCTATGTTTCACCTTACACAAGGATGTAGGGGAGTGCCTAATAAAAAAAAAAAAAAAACTGTGCTTGATATAATACAATCACGGAGATGTAATATTTTTGCTGAAATGACGTACGTTTTACAGTGGAAAGTGGGATAAAATCGTGACGAAAGCAATGACTTTCGCTTTCTTTCGTTCAAAAGATGTTACCGTAATCGCTTTTCGAATGGTTTTCATTTAAGAAACTGTTGTATATTACAATAATATTCCCTCCTAATTGACTTGAATAAATACTTGAATGGAAATATACAATATTTTTTTTTCAGTGTAAAGTGTTGTAATAATAAATGGTAAACAATTTGCCTTCGGCACTCGGTGTTTCAGGCACGGCGAGCCTCAGCTTATAGGACGTAGAGTGTTTTTACTGAAGGTTTTGTTTTTCCAATACCCTCAAAAACTTTGGTCGACCTATAAACAAGGAATATCATAAATTAACGATTTTTTGGTCAAAAAATCAGGGTTGACTTATAAACGGGGGGGGTTATAGACGAGTATATACGGTACTTCAATTATGTTCAATAATTGTTAAAATGACTAAAAAATTTAATACGGTATAAAACTTTTAAAATTATTGAATAGTACAACCTTCTTGATTTTTACTAAAATGGTAAGGAATTTATGCCCTAAAATTGATTACTGTATTGGCGGACTAATACTACAGCTGGTGGTCAGCCAAATGCAGGCGAAAACATGTTGGGAAAAATTTGTAAGGAATTCGTTAACCGAGGGTTTGCTCGTTAACCGAAGTGAAGAATCTTATGGAAGGTAATTCGTTAACTGAAATTTCGTTAACCGAGGCGCCCATTAACCGAGGGATCACTGTATGTATCTTTATATAATTTAACTAAATATCTTTCTCGTCAGAACGGTCATCCCAATGATTATGAATAAACTCATTTAGAAATACACCATTACTTCAGGACGAAATTGGACAGTTTTGCAACAGCCAATCAGCTGAGAAAAAACGCACTATAGTTAGCAAATATATTTATTGCA